GGGGGGGAATAGGGTACTAGTTGGAGCCCAGCCCCGCCATCATGGCGCTCCCATCTGTTCCTGGACTCCTAAGCCCCATCACACTGTGGAGTGGAGGTGTCCAGAGACGGGGCTCCGGTTTTGCCCTCTCCCTTTTACTACATGAGACTGAGGTCACTGAAGAAACAAAAGCAAATAACAGTCCGGGATATTGTCATCATCTTTTATTATGTATCAAATTGTCTTCAACATAAGTTACAACCTGATTCAATGTGATAGATATTTTTATCTAATGACAAAAAATTCTCTTTATGTACAATATATTTTGTCTAGAGTCTAGCATATATATAGTACCTTTCATTGCAGGATTTCTGCTTAAGCAAAAAAATAAAAAGAAAAAAGAAGGGACCCCCCCCACCCAAATTCCTTAACTATAAATGTCAATGTCAAATAAAGTATTAAAAAGACAAACAGGGAATAGAGTTTTCTTGTTTAGAAATGCAGAATGAATATGAAAGTTAGTGGCAAAAACAAACAAACCCAAAAACAAACTGAACAAAACCAAAAAAACCCTTCAAAACTCTGCCAGGGCAAACATTCCTGCTCAGGGAGGTGTGCTGACTCTAGACCATCTCTCGGTTCCTGCGGATCGCACAGCACAGGATCATGCTGAAGATCATGCCGAATATCTGGAAGACAGGAAGGTGTGTGAGGAGTCGGTGGAAAGACCTGAGGCAATGAGCTGGAGACAAAAGACGCCAAGGTGGGGGATGGTGTCCATACGGCCAAACGAGTGAGTGGAGGCTGAAGCAGGGGAGATGTAGGCGAGATCATGGGAAGGGCTGTTTTGGACGAGTGGAATTCTGAGCCAGTAGTGGTTGCTCTCGGGAGTTGTACAAATACCTTCCTGAGAGAACTTTCATGGTGAGACAAATAAGCCCATAGCTCTAGTTAATGCTCCAGTTCCAGATCTTCCAACAGGCCATGCTTTTGCTGTGTGTGGGGGGGTGTACTTTATACTCTGCTTTAAGGGGCATTGCGATGTCTTTTACTGATAGTTGCTCTAAGCTCTTTCTCGGATGTAGAGCTGAGATGTAAACAACCAATTAGAAAGGAGGCTGTTCTCTCTCTTGATGCATCTCACCAGGGGCAGAGAGGAACTGGAGGAAGTTTCTAGGGCTTCTGGTGAGCCAGGAGTCCCAGTTGAGGGCTGCGTCCCCCCTGTGGATTCTTCACCACTCAACCACTGGAAGGTCAGAGGTGACCCGAGAGCCTGACTAGTGGTCCATCAGAGAGTGAATTATTGAATGCTCTGTCTTCTCTTCCTTCTGCCTGCCCACCTGTGGATGGTTTTCAGGCTAAAGGGAGAGGTGAACCATGGCCAATGCATGTAGCTTCTGGGGAATTGCTCTTTTGGGGGACAAGAAGGGCCGCAGGAGCATGATGAGCACGTGTTCTCTGGAGCTACTCCTCAGAATAATAGGCCTGGGGGGAATCTACCTTCTTGCTCCTCTGGGGTCCCCTTGACCATAATGGATTCTGGAGGCACACTGGAGTTCCAACCCTAGATTCTTCAATAATGAGTCAAAAGACTTTGGCCAACACAAATCTCCTTGCCTCGAAGTCGGGCCAGGCCCAGGGCATGTGCTTAAGAAATCGTAGCCACCAAGATCACCATCCCCTCCTGGGGCCACCCAGCACTCACCATCACCACGGCAATCCCGATGCCCACTGCGCCAATGATGTGGAACTTGTTGTGGAAGACCTCATTGATGGCCTCAGGGCAGGGCTGAGGGAGGCAAACGCGAGAGCTCATCTCATTCTTTCCCAGTTCCTGGTGTACCCCTCCCTCCCACAGCACCCACGTCACCCAGAGGGCACTGGTGGTCCCAGGGGAGGAGAGGGAACAGGAGGGAGGAAGAAGAGATGTCCTGGCTGGTGGACAGGAGAGGACACAGGAGAGACACAGGAGGGAAGAAGGCTCAGCCTTTTGCTTTGGGGTCTGTTCTGATCTGGTGGGGGTGGGGTCGTGTCTTACGATTCCAGAGCTTCAATGTAGCTCAGAGCTCCTTACAAAGTCAAAGGAGCAGTGCTAGGTCAATGCAGGAGCCAGTGCGTCGGGGAGCCCTATCCGGAATAGCTTGAGGGTTGGGGTCGGGGCGGGTGGCAGGTGGGGCAGCAGAGGGCACCTCCATGTATCAGAGTGAGCCTGGGAGCTGGGGCACTTGGCTCACGCCCTCTGCCTGAGCTTTCCTTGGCTGTCCTTGCAGAGACAGACTCCCAGGCAGGGAGATGGCCACATCTGGGTCCCAGATGGAAGAGGTCTCTATGAAGTGCCTGGTCACCCGTCCTTCCCCAAGGAGTCGGCTCATTTCCCATCCACCCTGGTAGGCTTCGCCCACGCCAACTGGTCAAGGGTACAGAGTCTTGTTCTAAATGTACCTTTATTGTGATGGTTGCGATCAACTCCTTTTTGGGGCAGATGTCGACAATAAATTGTTCCAAGCCTCCGGCCATCCCACAGCAGTCCAACTGTGGAAAGTGAGAAAAGATGATTAAAGACCGTTGGCACCCTCTTGTACCTAGTGTCCAAGTCTCTTCTGACGGGAACCCCTGCCCACTAGAGGACATACCGCATAGTGGATGGCTCTCAGTGTGTCCCGGTGGGCATCATCCTTTTTCAGCTTCTCATAGGTGTCCTGGTAAAATTTCTGGACTTCGTCAATCACCTAGAATGGACACAGAGACAGGGAGTACCCGAGGCAGCCTTTATAAATGGTTCCTAAGGAACATGTCCTCCATTCCATCTTGCGCATGTTCTTCAAGTTCACCAACAACGTCTGGGCTCAGAGAAGACTTCAGTCCTACCTTGCTCAGAGCCTCTACGGCACCCCCCACCTCCTGCTGTGGGGGCCACAAGGCCTCCCACCCCCGCGAGGAGCTTGCGCTGGTTTTCCTTCCTCCCTTGCATGTTTAGTTCAGCCCTTCAGTCCCACACGGCTTCTCTCCTTCTACGTAGCAAGACCGACTCGCCTCAACCCCAAGGATCTGCTCCTACGTGGCTCTGTCAACTCCATGGTCTCGTGTTGTGTTCGCAGTGGGGGTTTACACAGTCAGGTACCGGGCACTTCACCATCCCTGCACACAGCTCATCGCTATTGGCCACCACATGTTAACGTTCTCATGAAGGGCCATGTGGATGTTTTGCTTCTAGCAATCTGGTTTCCCCATCCCCTTACGCTTTCGTTTTCACCGGGGAGTGGTTACTGAGCATCTGGTCTATATCCAGATGTAAAGCACGCACAGAACTCACCAGCGCTGCTCTTCATTTCATGAGCCAATCTGCTATTTAGCTAAACGTGACCTCGGGGGTAGTTTTGGCTCCAGGTTTCTAACATATTATTTTTTCATGTCTTACACTGTCCGATGCCTCCCTTCACCCACGTTTCTGTTGTCCATCCCCCAGGGAGAGGGTTATATACAGATCATTGTGATCAGTTCTCCCCCACCTTCCTGGTATCACTACTCTCATTATTGGTCCTGAGGGGTTTATCTGTCCTGGATTTCCTGTGTTTTGAGCTCTTATCTGTACCCCTGTACATGCTTTGGTCTAGCCGCAATTGTAAGGTTGAATTGGGATTATGATAGTGAGGGGAGAGGAAGCATTAAAGAACTAGAGGAAAGTTGTATGTTCATTGGTGCTATACTGCATTCTGACTGGCTCGTCTCCTCCC